ATTTCGGAAGCCTGTACTGCATAAGAACAGCCTGCGGTTGGCACACTATTGAAGCAGTCCTTCAACACTATCCGTACCGAGTCCACTCCATGTCGACCACCTAATTGAGTCTCAGATGCGGTAAGCCTGCCCACTTATGTATTCATATCTCGGGCGACCACAACGATACCCGAGCTTTTGGCTCGCCGCAACAGAATATTTATTGTTTCATATAAATTGTCTTTGATGGTGTCAGAGCTACAGTCTGTTGGGACGTAAGCAGACACGACAGACAGACATCGATTAACACGCCGCTTGACACTACTTTACAGGCTTTATCAGACGAACCGTACAGAGGTGACTATCAGCAGGTATCTGCCAGGTGACTTAGGACGATACCAACCCCTGCACATCCTGCCGCAGTAGCCTCTGAAATGCCAGAGGTGCGCAGCCGGAAGCGAGTGGAGAGTGATGGATTGGTTACTTTAACCACTGTGTTTACATCTTAAATTGGTGTTTTTGATTTACAATATGCATCAGTTCCAAGCGAGTTCAGTGTGAGAGCAAGAGTAGGTTGTTGTCTTGCTTTATAGTGCGAACATTGAAAACAGCCAGACAGACTCGGCGTCGATGCTTGAAGATTGGTCTCTTAATGGCTGAGGATGTCAGCGCCAGTTGACGGCTAGATGTTGCTTGCGAAACCGATGCAGGACGAACGGAGTCATCAGTCCTAATATGGAGAGAATTGTTAAAGGGTTGAGGAGAAGGGGAAGTAAATTGTGTGAAAGAGAAGGGAGGCATCAGCAGTAGCATGTTTTCGCTTACCGGCCTCGCTGTATGGTGAGGCGATCCGGCCGTTGTCGGCCGATGTGGCATAAGTTTATTTGTGTCTGTGCAAGTCATGTTTCTACGTGGGCGCCCATACTTAGATAGGAGGATGATTAGGGTCCTCAACCAAAGCCTTTGCCTCAAAAGTCTAACCCCAAAGCAGCGGGGCTTGGCAAGAAATGCAAATAAATTTTAATGGCCGAGGACATCGACGCTGGATGGCGAGTAGATGTTGTTTGCAAAACCGACACAGGGTGAACGGAGTCATCAGTCCTAACTAGTGGGCCTACAAGGAGAGCATTACTAATGGGGTGGGGAGAGGGGGAAAAGTATGTGAAAGAGAAAAAATAGTTGCAATTCATGATTGTACTTGGACTGGGATAGTGCCAGGGTGCCCACACCTAGACAGAAGGACGATTAGGGTCTTTAACGAAAGCATTTGGCTCAAAAGCCCGACCTCGGGGTAGCGGTGTTTGGCGGGAAATGCACATACAGTACCGTTTTCACGGAACACGTCGCCACAAATGTCCTAACCCCCAATCTGGAGGACCAGGAGACTGTTCGTCAGACGTCTAACAATTGATGAACCTGGTATGATAGACTGAATGTCGCGCGGACACCTTCCCAGTATAGCTCAATGGGTTACCGGGGTACACAAACCGTTACACCACGGTAAGATCCAGTCTCTTCGTCACGGGTTCAGCTTCAAAACAATCACTGGAATCGCCCAGTGGGCCGGAATAGAATATCGACACCAGCGCGCCATCAACAACAGAACTCCAACGTGAGGTATCACTCTTTCAACGCGACAACGCACCTAGCCCGGACAGTCTGTACCCCGCGCCCTTCAAAGAAGGTGATGGGGTCTTGGCGAATAGCCTGACGACCATATTGCAGAAGATTAGAAACGAAAACAGAATATCAGTGAAATGCAGCTCCTCGGCCGCAATCCCAATTTTCTGGAAATTCATGCGAAAGCCTTCGTGGTATCAGCATGGTAACCGTGTCACCCAAGGTGCTCTATGGAGTTATTCTGCGTAGGTCAGCCGATTATTACAAGAGACGGACTCGTGGGGACCAAGTTGAATTTCGCCCTATCCGAGGATGCATCGACAATATCTTTATCTTGAGACAATCTCTTGCACAGCACAACTCCATCAAGCATCCCACGTTGGTCCCACGTTCTTGACCTAGAAGCTGCTTTTGACTCGGACGGTCATCGGAAATTTTTGTGGCACCCGCTGACCTAAGGTGTCCTTTCAAAATCTACATCACTTTTGGGGGCAATGTGTGCGAAAGTTTGTGGGCTGATACGAGTATACGGGAGGCTTTCGCCTGAGTCCACCACGTCCACTGGTATAAAACAAGGCTTCCCTCTCTCACGTTTCCACTTCAACTTTGTTTTTGGTGTGCTGCTTAAAACCCCCCTGGCTGCCCGTTAGACTTCGCGGGTCGAAATGCTCCCGAGACTTTTGCTGACAAAAATTGAATATGCGGATTATACTGCTCTCTCTGGTTCGGATCCTTCAGAAATACGAACTATTTTGAATAGCAAATAGTCCAGCTGGAGATAGCCCGGTGATTGAGGTGCGAGTTTACTGCCCAGAAGGTCCGTGTTTCAAACCCAGGCTCAGCATCTCGACTGCTCCTGTCTGGATTTGAGCTACCTGACGGTATCTCAGCCCTCGCGCTTACTTGGGGGGGGGGCGTGGCAGCTGGGCACCAAAAGTGTGTTAGTGCTTAACGTGCCTAAATAGTTTTGCCCCACCGTTTGGCAAAGTCTATGATGCTGCCACTGAGTGAAATCAAACCCAAACCTCATGCTTACAGACGAGCCAATCGTCGTGGTAGATGAGTTTGTTTATATGAGAAGTTGCGTAAGTTCTTATGGACTGTTTGGAGATGAGATTACTACTCGAATAGGGAACACCGACTCCTATGGCCCCGACCTGACGCCAGTTTGCCTGTCAAGGGTAGAGTTTCCACTACGGCGGTTCGATTCATATTGCTCTATTTATCAGAAACGTAGCTTCTACGCGCAGAGGACAGATGAAAGATGTCAGTATTCGACCATCGGTGTCTCTGAAGCATTGGTTGAGTTTGGTGGGAACATCGGATTAGTAATGCTCTGATGCACGTCAGGTGGCTTTAGGAAAAAGGAACTCTCCTACGATAGATGAATTACTCGCGCTTTATAGGTTACGATGGTTAGAACATGTACTCCGCATGCCGGAAGACCATATTCTTTGCAGTGCGTATTTCGCCCAGCTCTGTGCTGAGTTAAAGTGGACGAGAGGTAGCCAGCGTATGGCCTGGCAATGAAGCATGTAAACGCTGACCACTGAACTGAGTCGGTTCAACTGCTGGCCCACCCCTGGATGGAGACTTGGATGGTTAACGGAACTAGCGGATGTGGCCCAGTCGCTCAGTGAGCGGTGCTCGTGCGTCAAAGCTATCGACTTCAGTGCGTAACTGCCTAGTTGTTATAAGTAACTGAACGTGGCATCACCTCTAATGCTTGGCTGTATTTCCAGCGCTCCCACTTTCCGTTAATGGAAACTTTAGTAGCTGGAACCAATGTACCTTTGGTAAGTGGTTTATAGCTGGCAAACTGAACTGAACTGGACGTATCGGTATTCCAAATCACGAATCAAGATATCTGATCACTTCATTCCATTAAATCAGAGTTCACGTGCCCCCTAGAGTACTAATCAGTGGTCCCCCGACCTGAATAAAACTCCAGAGACCCACTTTCACTCTGTTGTCTTGGGGACCCATTCACGGGAATTCAATAAGTGGGTTTCCAGGCAGCGTTCACATGAGAAATCATCGCCACAGGCAGCAAAATCGAAGTTGATACAAGACTCGCTGGAGCACAACCGCTAGGTTTGTTCGATCACCTCTGAATACGGTATAAAAAGAAGTCGTCCGGGAAGAAACCTGTTACAAGTCTACTACGGTCATTCAGAGGTGCGTACACATCTAAACACCTAACCACAGTTTGGACAGAAATCGACATCTCGAACACCAAGGACATCGGCTAATGGTCACACTTGCAACGCAGCGTCTGATAGAGGGAGGATCTTCAGAACCCCACCCTGGAACACGACCCATCGACAGCACTTAAGCTTTTCGTGGTGTATTCCACGCCCTTTTGTCAAGTCATTTCCATAATCTTTCTGAACAGGCGTGAATAGCTATGGTTTCGGCAGTCAGTGATTCGGCATTCTTAGCACATTGCTCCGAGCTACTGCAGGTGATGGCACTGAATTTTGTTTGCGACAGGTATCTGCCGCACAACCAAATACCCGTTTTCTCAGTACCGCATTACAAATTTGCTGATGCTACCTAAAACTGGTAGCGGTAATGATATATCGGTGGTCAAAAACCCGAAGATACCTCAGTTCATCCGTCTGCAAAGTCCGAGTCTTGTAACTGCAGGTGAGAAGTAGGTCACTTGAGAGCATTTCGAGGTGAGCACGAGGCGGACCGAAAGTCGATTGCCTTTCGCAACAGCTCGATTTTTTTTGCGCTTTAGGGTGATTTTTACTTCTATTTTCGACATAAATGAATTATTTGCCTTTACATTAGTATATTACCGCTACGGTTGCTTCAAAGTACTGAGATTGCTCACTCAAGTCTGACTTCTCAATCAGTGTTTAAACTGTGTTGTCTACCTCGGACTTTTCTACTCGCTAGTGTCTGTCCAAACTAAGGAAAATTACGGTCAAAATTGATCATGTCAAAGAACTCCGCTTGTTTTACTTGCCTCCAAGTCTCTCTGGGAGGCTCAGAAGGTACTTTATAGCTACAGCTGGTTAGCGCCCTCTTAGATTGAGAGGATGCGTCTACAGTTACCTCAGTATCAATTCAGCTGAGCGAAAGCTCCCGCTTTATGGTTCTATCCCCCGTTTTTAATCATAATAAAACTTTTGAAGTATGGACTTTTAGGATACGCACGAATTTTATCTTGCGGTAACTTCTGACTAAGCATATCGTGCTTTATCTATAGTTGAGCAGTATGGGCTGTGACTCAGTGTGTGAATAATTATTCAGTGCTTACTGTTAGTGAATTAGTCTCTTGCGGGGACTAATGGCACGTGGTCAGTGTCTGACACTTGATATCGAAACTGTCCAAAAGGCCAATCTCTATGTCCCCCATACCTTCTGTTCATGTGCTCCTTTCTTTTTAGGTTTTCAGACTTCTCCAAGACTCCTACTCGTGTTCAATCTGTTGATGGTAATTAGCCAGTCTTCCTGAATGTTAGAGGGCAAGATGGCTCTGCGGGCGGCATCCGGGTATGTCTTTTGCGCTCAACACCTGCATTTACATTTAGAAATCTGGTAAAAATAGGCTTGTGTGGTGCAGCCGTGTACTACTCTGTGGTAGAAGGTGTTTGGAGTACCTCCGACCAGAGTGTTGGACCCGTCTCCAAAGTAAAACATCGACTTTTACCACAGGCGTTCCAGTTTGTCAGCGATGTGAGTCTCCTTCCATTCTTCAATACAACTGTATTTATAGTTACCCTATCGAGCAACGGCTTCGTGGAACAAAGGTTGGTTGGTTTTCTACGTTCACGCCATGTGATGCTCCTCTTCAGGCGTTTCCAAGGTTTTCAAGGCCATGAACCAATGTGAATGCAGCCTTTGCCGCGCAAAGAAGTTCCTTAAGTCCTTTTGGAGTTAAACATGCAGTTCGACTCATCTGACAATACCGTATGCGTTTTTCCAGCCTCCTAGTGATCATACACCAACTTGAAATAAATAGATATTTCATGCTAAAAAGGTGTTCTGTTTTTCTCGGGGCTAACAAATAGTCGCCTCCAAGTTGCATTCTTTTTTTCTTAGAATGTCCCGTTCCAACGTTCTGCAGTTTTTGTCCATGTGCGGCCGATTAAAGGTGAGTAAAAATTTCTTCGAACTTATCCGGCAAGTCCCACCGCTAATATCCAGCTTGCAATTCCCTCTTTCAACGTTGTGTTTATTTCTACTTCCACTAGTTCCTATGAGTATGCCAACCTCTTGCTATTCTTCGTCCGCTTAAAGAGACAACTAGGAAGTCACATCTGTAACTGACGTCCCATTAGCCCTGGATTCTGTCTGACACAGAGGTTACATCCGTGGTTCCAGATGGCTACCCGCATGTAACAGGGGTAGTACCCTGCCAATTCGCGCCGATGGTTGACTAAACCGGGTGAGAGTAATTGAAAGGCTTTCTCCAAAGGGTCTCAGTGACGGGCTTGTGAAACCAGACGCTGTTTTGGGAGTAATGAGAACTGTCCACTAGTCCAACCGCTGATGCAACCACTTTGTTTTAAGGTTCTCTATAACCCTTAGTGTCCTCGATATGCACGGAATAGAAGTGCTTCCTCCAGTCGACAACCGGAAACCCTGGATAGGTTGGGCATGGCAGCCTTTTCAGCTGCTTGGCCTGTATTCTAACGAGGTATTCATAGAACCCTCTCTTTTTCACATGACATCCTCACTGACGACAGCACTCATGTGGTTTGAACCCGACCTCTCCCTTCCCCTCGTGCTCCCTTCATGTGGCATGGTAGATAGGCACCAAAAGGGTGTTACAGCTGAACGATTTCGATTTCATGTGGAAACACTACTGCTTACTTGGCACAGAACGATGTCAGTTTGCTTGGGTGAAACTCCATAATGATCAGCATAGCAAAAGGGCTTCATTGCTGGCCTACTGTAAATACCCAAGGCACCTAATATTCGAAAGGTTCGGTCTAAAAATCTGAATAGGAACTGACAGCACAGGTGCCCATCTTTTGGTTGGTGTCCCCATAAATTTGGTGTGACCGATCCACAGCATCGTCGTCGTCATCATCGACAGCATGACATCAGTGTTCAACGCCGATGCTTCACTTCCGTAGATTCACAGCTTGCAGTGTTGTATGTGTTCTACGAGCGAAGTACCTGATGCCTCCCCTCAAACATTCATGTTCTGAGAATCCGATTGTGAATTTGTCGGTTCCAGCCTATCCCAACTATACTTCTTAGGAATCAACGGCCAAAACCCAGATCATTGTTCAGGAGATAGGAAGGACATCTAAAAAGTCTTCCCTATGGCCATTTGCGTTAGTTGTTTCGGTTAAATTGCTTCACACGTTGTCCTCGACTCCCTTAGCTAGTCACAGTGAGAGGGGAATTTGTCGTGATTTCTCAGTTCGTAGGACCTGTGTTACAGAGTAAACTAGCAATTTGCAGTTCGGGTACTGCCTGAATGAAAGTCTGTGAATGGTCGGTACTGTAGGTCAGAGCAATGCTTCGTTTGTTCGAAGCCGGAAGTTTATCGACTTGATTTCGTATGTGTGTATAACGGCGTGATGAATATAGTTCTGATGATTGGACTTCACCTCACCTTAAAACGAATTATTCCTACAGGCCGGTCAACTAGCCTTGTGTGCAACATGCTGCGAGACGTCCAGAAGCGTGTTAGCACCAGGGCTTCCCCGTTAATTCCTTGACCTTGAGAAAAATCAAAACAACGATGACACATCGACCCATTTTTGCTTATTCCACTTTTTGAAAATCCAACCCCGTGATTTGGTAATCATCCGAATCCCGGCGCATTTCCCTGACCTCGTTTGTACACTGATTTGGTTTTGACGGTAAACTCAACTGAATCCCGCTTAATCTTCCTTTTACGATGGTTTGCTTCAGCTAAGTGCGCTGCACAAGGTCACCTCATGTTTCAGTTCTTACGATATTCGATATATCGCAACACATTGTCTAAACATGACACGGTACTCATAAGGTTGATGAGAACTTCGGCAGCCCACAACCGGAGCTCCTCAGGTAGGCACAGTTCCAGACTTTCTGTCACAATTATGTTCTACTTGAACCGAAATTTGATGGAATTCGCCAAATTTGGTTTCGACGGAAGAATCGACTGAATCGGTGCTGGCGAAACCCTCTAGTAATACAAACAGGGAGCACCCGGTCTCAGCAGATTACTGTTCCGAAGTAAACATACGAGTAGGTGAACGTTATTTACACGACGTCAGTTCACCCGCCAGGATAGCGTGGAGAACCTAATTTTACTCATTCAAATCAGGTCGAGGGTTCCGAGAGGCGGTTATCTGTTAATGAGCGGACGCAGCCTACACCACTTTCTACACAGTAAAGAGGGTTCTTCATGGCTTCTCCACGGGACTGTTTCCCCTACATTATGTGCCTTGGCGAAGCACGACATAGTCGTTGGAATATTCTGGATGCACACGAATAGTTGGATGTAGCGTATAGTTGAGAACAAAGGGAACAACGCCAAGAGACGATGGAATACAGGTTCGACTGCAGGAAGAAAAATGATGCATGCATGCGACCACACGTCCTTGGAACAATCGCAGAAAATGTGTCAGTGTGTCCAACTTAAAGGAGACTCTGAAAAGTCGTGCCCTACACAAAATATTTTTGGAATGCTGGTGAATTCATTTGCTGAAGTTCTCGCTTCATAAGTTTTTGCATGGTCTAGTGGTAGTCAAAACGTAGGGTCTTCAGAACTATATTGGTTCCGGCTTCGATTTCTGTCTTGACCTCTAATTAAGTAATACCTCAAAGTGCCGCTCCGATTGTTACCTATAAAGGTAATGTTGTGGTCCGCATTATTTATAATGTAATAGTCGTTCTGGTGCCTAGCTGCCCTGCCACTTGACAAAAAAACAAGAGAGCTGATTGACAGAGAGATTGGCTGAGCCCGGCCAGCAGCAGTAGAGATGATGAGGTTGGGTTCGAAGCACAGACCTTCCGGTCAGCAGTTTTGCACCTTAACCACTGAGCTATCTGCACGATGCTCCCTCGTCGTTGGACGCTTTTTTACCGCTTTCTTCTTCGAGACATGCATGATCAAAAGCGCTTTATGTATACTTTAAAGTGGAAATTCCTAGGCAGTTTATACGTTTTTGATTCAAACGTCCCCCAAAATGCCTTATTCTATTTCTGGCGCAAACTGTCAAGAGTTTGTCACCGTGTTCCAAGATTTCCAGTCATCCCGTTTCACGATTCTGTTCAACTTGCTACACATTCGGAACTGATTGTAACTTAATCTTGTCTTGTAGCGAGACTTGGACGTTAAGATCTCTTGGATCACCGATTATTTATTCATTATGGGGCTTACTAAGGAAGTGAATTTGAAAATTGCGTATTCTAGTACGAGACACCAGTCTACCCAATTGTCTGCCGACATCATAACGTCTAAAATAAGGCATAATTTTGAACTTAGAGGCTTTTTGTTGGCCAGACCACCTGATCAGAAGCATTTCATCGTCCTCCAATTGTACTACGGTTGTCCTTATGCTTTTTCAAAGGTGGTTCTGGCGGAAACAGTATGGATATTCTTCTAAATGTCGTTTACAAGAAAGCCTCAAAATATTCGGTGCATGCTCTCGCATTAAGTGTTCCTTGGATCCAACCTTCCCCATAATTGAGTAGAAACGATCCTCCTTGGTCTTTTCTCTGGTATGTTTGAAGCAATTTTCATTTGACATCCGTGTGAATGCTTTTTTCCAAATCTACCTCAGTGACTTGACAGTTACGGCTCTCATTGTTTCCCTGCAACTAGGGTCTTAGACTCTATGGGTATTATCCTCAAATTAGGAGTAGCGCCTGTAGATCTCCAAACCACCGTTTTCATCGTGAGATGCGCGAGAGAGTAGGTGCCAATTGGTGGTTGCAGTTCGAGTAGGCACAGGCGTTCACAACCAATACAATAAGGCGCATACACTAAAATGGCTCCATAGGAAGTGGCGGTGAAACCGTGTTTAGCTCGTCTTCGGTTCAGGATCACCTGACTTACTCTGATGCTTACCAGTAGTGTGGTTGTGCAGGACTTCGCGTCGGTGCCTTCTGTTGCCCAACTTGAATTAAACTTGGGATAATGTCAAGATTGGCTGGTGGATTATTGGCACTTACGAACCTGTCACATGTACCTGATAAACTTCAGTCAGTACAAAACGTGTGACGCGTCGCTCTTCTATGGTCGACCACTTCTGCCATGCGTTGCTGTTTCTGACTTTAAGTCGATTTCCCTCATACGTAAAATAGTCGTTTTCTGCCGATGAGTAGCCGGCCCGGGGTTCAAAATAAGCATGTTCATACGCTTTTGTCGAAGTCAATTTCCAAATATTTTGCTGAAACTGAGCTTCTGAATGTTCTGTTGGTTTCCTCAAGCGCGTGCGGACTTACAGTGCTCTAGATGCGAGTTTATGGATACTGTGCTCGAAAAAAAACAGTGTGGTATAATTTTTCTTTCGGTTTACTGTCTAGTTTTGATGACGCTTTATCACCTAGAGAATCAGTAGTCACCCAATCTGAGGACTGCATCCACCAACCATTACGAGCGGCGGTAGCCCAGTCATGCAACACGTCATTCACCGAAAACACGGTTATTCTCCATTCCACTAACATGATGGTGCGAACAATTATATGGCTTGGCAAAGGGAAGTGGACGGGACTACCAGTACTTTGATCCACCATCTTGGACGCAGTATTCCTGCCCCTCTCGGTTTTCCAAGTTTTACCCGCCGTTATTCAGCCTTTGATTGGACGTTAAGTATATCTTACCGGGTTCAATTCGAGCCCTACATCTGATAAAGTTTTGTTTTCTACGGTTGAGCTCAGAAAGTCCTCTTAGCAGATGGGGAAACAAAAGTCCGTCGAATAACACGCGATTCACCTTACGTCCGATTGTGTTCTCTGCAATCCCATCAGCACACTGTTCGTACGGGATGGACGCGTTACGACATAAATCAGCCCGAATCCGTTGCCGATCATATGTACCGTATGGCTCTAATGGCAACGGTAATTCCGACCTCAGATCAGACTGGCATTTCTGTTGAGCGGTAAGTAGGTTACTCTTCTCTGCTTGCACGTGGGTCTTTCTCCCCAAAATTCCCATTCTCCAAAAGACCGCTTCCATTTTGCTCCGTTTTTTCACCAAAGTAGTTGGGAACCCTCCTAAAATATCGAATACAGACTAACACCATCCATTCCTGAGACGAGTATCATTTTCCCTGCAGTTTTGGGCATATAACTTTCCATTATTCTCTTTTTCCCCTGCCAATAACTGTTGTACGCACATAACCAGTTTTTTCTCGCCTCCTAACTTCACAACACCTATTGCGTGTATGTTGCTTAGGGCTGCATTTTCGGGGTGGTCTTGTTGTCCACCAGCATGTTCGGATAAGGTGAGTGATTCCGCTGTACATCTCCAGTGTGAGACTGACCCGGCTCGTCTCGTCCTCGGACGTTGATCACGAGTCACGTGAAGTTCCGCCTTATGGCAAACGCACACAACAGCCTGTCTATATCACCGTTTTCATGTTTGGAGCAATGCCACACAGTGAACAACAGTGCTGGGTTCGATCAAATAGGATTAGATGGAAACTGATTTCAGTATTGTGCAGAAGTGGCTGATGAGACGTGGACGAATTAAAGACATAATGGTGGTATCGTGTAGCCGAGCCGCGTCGGTTTCAGAAATGTTTATCGCACCTGAACCTCAGGAAACTGCGAAGCGACGTAGAAAAGTCGGCTCATCAAAGTACCGTTTCTATGACCACCTGAAGCCGCTGCGACCCAGCAGATTGGCGATTCAGCTGTTTACTCACAGATGCGCACACAGTATCCTTTGTGATCTTTGTAAAGTGTTTGCGGCCATTCTTAGGCTTTTTCGGTGGGACGTGAACGATGGTGCAATCAGTGTGTGTAGACACTGCACTTTTTTAACCGAACATTTTACTCATAAGTCTGCTGAAAACTCTTCCACAGTCCACGACCCGTTTCACCCTTCGTGGATCTCATCAAGTGGGTGTAGTTCTTACCATTGTTGTTCTCTGATTAGTGACCACAAAACGAAAATAAAAAGTACTCAGTCCATAAGGAAATCTGCACCTTCGAGAAATACACTCATTTGCAAAGCAATTTGGTTTTCACGAGAGACTCAACTGAATCTCTTGTTTTTGATATTCTACAACTGAATGTGCTGCACATAGGCCGCCTCATGCTTCAGTTGGCACGATATTCGGGATATTGCAGTATATTTTCATAAAGGAAACTACT